CTCTTGGGGGTCACCTGTCCACCATGGGTTGGGGCAGCCTGCTCATTGGAAGCAAATTTGCATGGATTAATTTCTTCCTCTCTGAATAAGGTAGACACAGAATTTAGTATTCAGTGGATCATGTTCATGTGCACTGAGTCATCAGGCAGGATCACAGGGTACCTATGATTGTCTTCATTTACCTTACAAGTGCCCCTGTGCCTGAGAAGGGGTGGCATTAATCAGCAAAGTTAAAGTACTATGGAAGTCTGAGTATAGTGGCACATTCCCATAATCCCAGCACTCTGAGTGGTTGAGGCAGGAGGATTGAAAGTTCAAGCCCAGAATGGGATACTTAATGACTTAAGGAGAACTTGTCTCAAAAAAGAGCTGGAGTTATACCTCAGAGCAAAGGCTTTGGGTTCAACCCACAGTACTGAAAAATTCGGTCTCTCAAATTAAAAGACTCAATCAAAAAATGGGAAACTGAAATGAATAGACACTTCTCAGAAGAAGTCCAAATGCCCAATAAATACATGAAAAAATGTGCATTATTGCTGGCCATCAGAGAAATACAAACTAAAACCACACTGAGGCACCATCTTACCCCAGAAAGAATGGCTATCACCAAAAAATCTAGTGACAAATGCTGTACATTGTTGGTGGAAATATAAACTAGAACAATTGCTAAGGAAATGTGTGGAGATTCCTCAAAACACTAAAAGTAGAAATTCCATTTGACTCAGCTATTCTCCCTCCCAGATATCTTCGCAAAAGTGTTAAAATCATCATATTAGAGAGAAAAGTGCAGACCTATGTTTATTACAGCAAATTTATAATAGCTAGATCTTGGAAACAGTGTATATGTCCATCAACAGATGAATGGAGAGGGAAAATGTGGTATTTATACACAATGGAGTACTAAGCTGTCATAAAGATAAACTTGAGGCATTTGTAGTTAAATGGATGCAACTTGAGACCATAATGTTAAGTGAAATAAATCAGACACCCAAGTTCAAATATTGCATTGTTTCTCTTATAGGAGAAAAATACTATATATACATACATACATATGATACATTATTTATATATATAAAATAAAGAACAAAATAGACAAGAGGTAAATAGAAAGAAGTTCAAATACATCCCCAAATTACATATCCTATTGTTTTAAAAAATAGTTCAATATATGATAACTTGTTTCATTTATATTAATAGTTCACCAAAAAGAAAGTTTGTGTTATTACCTGTTTCTTTTATATAAGAATTTTTTGCTTTATGTCTTATACTGAATAACTACTTTGAAGATAACAATATACAATGTAAGAACTATTGTTATTCTCTTATTTGGGTATGAAAATTTGTTTTATTTGTTATAAAAGAAAAAAATAAAAAATTCACAGTGCTGAAAAAAGAAAAACAAGAGAGAACTGTAGAAGGAAAGAAAAGGCTTTATATTTGAGAAGCTTTAATAGAAAATTTTCCTACCTTTTAATAAAAGGGCTTCATAGTTACATTTTGCACCAGACCTACAAATTATAGAGTCAGTCCTGACAATAAAGACTAATACTACAGCATTTCAGTGTTCCTTGAGGCTCATCACTCCTCATATAGAAATGATGAAAGCTCATCAGCTTATAGTTGTTATATATAACAGTTATAGCTGTTCCTAGCTTTTTCTAGGGCTGCTTGTGATTGGGACTCTTTCACATGCCTAGGAAATAGATAATGAGTTAGTGTTTGTTATTTGGTCTAATGAGGCCCATTCCATCCCATTGTCCCAGCTGTGTTAAGCATCAAACCATGTGAAAAGATAATAATAGACAGTATTCTGGGGTTAAGAATCAGAAAACTGAATTCTATTTCTGTCTCTGATTAAAATCTAGCATTTTCTGACTGTCACTGAGTTTCAGGAGAGAAGCTTCTCAGAAAGATAAGTGAGTTCTAGGCTATGAGTACATTGTACTTTCTTCGACCAAAATTCTTGTGCTTTTATGTTTTCTATACTTCAGTTGTGTATTGACAATCACTTAAAAACTCATTACAAATCTTAAAAATATAAAATCTATCGTTTTTGATTCTCTCTACAGGCCCTTCTAGCTCTGACTTCTGATTTGAAAAGTCTCTAAATTTGAACCCTACCAAAACAGATGGTCTTTTATTCCAGGAAGAAATCTGTCATGTTCTTGGGGCAGAGACCAGAGAATAAAAATCTGAGGAGGACTAGGGATCGACCCGGGTGGTAGAGAGCTGAAAGTTAAGGACAATGAATAAAAAGTGCTTCCAGCTCCCTGCAGTGGAGTGACTAGAATTACACAGTATCTGAAAAACCAGAAGACTTAGCCAGAATCTAGTGCTCCAGGAGGTAAGTTTTCCTTCATTACACAAGGTTGTAATAATGCCTGGTTGAGGATATGGACTAAGAAAAAAAGTTACTTGTGAGGAAATTTCAGTTCTGGTAATGTTTTTAAGATCTCACCAGGTACCCAAATCCTAACCTGGTTCCAATGAACCAAATCTGGCCCCATCTCTCCAGAGTTTCAGTACAGGTGGACCAAAGAAAAATTCAGAAATTTCAGAACATTTCATTGTATATACAGGAATCATAAAGCTAAAATAAATGTGCAAAGTGCAATAGAAAAACAGAGTGCAAATTTTCACTTCTCTCTGAAACATTAGGAAAAGCTACCTGGAAAAGAAGGTGAAATTTAAGTTTGGACTTTAAGTAGGATTTAAGAAATGGAGAGATTTATGCACCATATTTAGAAGTTTGGAGTTTATTTTATATGCAAAGGGAGACTTGGACAAGTTTTAAGCAGTGTAGAGATCAAGAGAGAGAGAGAGCTGATGTGGCCAGATTTACATTTAAACCACTATGTTTGTTGTGTAAAAGTAGATTTGATAAGATCAGGGGTAGATTCTGGAAGAAGGGATAAAAGATTAGCTAATCCTTGCAAGAAAAGACTGTGATGGATCCTGGAAAAGGCCAATGGTAGTGGAGAAGAGGCAAATTCAAGAGGCATTTGGGAGGAAGAATGATAGATCTGGCGTTTGATTGAATGCAAGGAATTGAAGGAGAGAAGAATATCATGGATTGACTCTAGGTTTTGAGCTTTAAAAACTGGGTGATATCATTAATTTAGAAGGGAACAGGGAAGAGCAGGAGCAGGTTTAGGATTCAGTTTTGGAACATTAAGTTTGAATGCTAGAGGAACTACCAAGGAGTGTTTCCAGCAGGTAGTCTGATTAAAAGATCTGGAGTGCTAAGGGAATTGGTTTCATTACCCAGTAAACCACACCACCTTCATCATGATTAGGGTTAGGAATTCGTGCAGGAAGCTACTAAGGCTATATAGTTTCCAGGAGTAGAGGCCATAGATAAACTATTTTTAGGGCTAAAGATTGTGTCTGACCGAGATGTAGATAAATACTACTTTCTGTTTTCCTTACAGTTTGAGCCAATTGGATTATTTCTCCCCAAGTAGTTGTTAGATTTTGGTTACTCTATCTTTCCTATGCCTTAATTACTCATCTATAAAATTAAAATATATTAAAGTTGTCTGCCCATTTTCCAACGTCTATTATATATTTTAATCCTTATTTCCACACTAGGTTTCTCACATCAGAGAAACAATGCAGTATTTAAACATGTGTGTTTGATTTATTTCACTTAAGAGTATAGTCTCAAGGTGCATCCATTTAGCTATAAATGTCTCAAACTCATCCTTCTTTATGGTTCAGATAAGAAGAGGAATGAGGGAGGGGGAAAGGAAAAAAGGGACAAGAAAAAAGAAAATTGAAAGAAAAAATGGAAACAAAGCTTTTCTACATAAGGGGGGAGATGGGAAAAAAGAAGAAGCAAGATATATCATGTATGGGTACAAATTCCCTACAATAAATGTCATCATTATGTATATATAAAATGTACCATTAAATGTTTTGCTAAAAATGAAAATCCAAAATTTAAAAAATACACAAAAATATATTTAAGCTTTATATTCTTCAGATATATTGGACTGTGTGGTTTTATGGATAGTTTATTATTCAATATATTTGGTTTCCTTTTGTGTTTATATTGTGCTCATATATGGTAGGCAAATGCTCTACCACTGAGCCACATCCCAAACTCCATTGTTCAATATATTTGGATAATACAGTAATACCCATAAATCTGATACATCTTCACAAATTCTGAGAACTATTCATGGAATAATGAATTAATTGAGACTATACTTACACTATTTTGCCTGTTGGCAATATATTGAAGAAAATCAGTGGACTTAATCCAGGTTCAGTTGGTATTTGCATGCAAAAAAATCACAGCTGCAATTCAGGACTGAAGAGCCCACTAACCAATGATCCATAGTCCTTTACACAGGATATTGAAAGCTTAATTAGTGGACACAGTCTGTTGTCTTACCAAGTATCACCCTGTTTAAGACTTATCCTTATAAATCTCAACAATTGTGCTTAAAAATTCATGTATGTACTCACATTTAATAGCCTCACAGTGGCAGTGGTAATACAGCACTTGTAACACATACATCTAGGAATCTTCTGAACCCTTACGAGAGATTGGGATTAAATCTAAGACATGTGTGGTACAACAAAGTTATTTTTATCTCAGTTCTCAATTATGTTCTTTTCTCTAAGTTATAGTCAAATTATATGATTTCTAGTCAAATTATCTGATTTCTAACCTTCTTGTTATCTCAGAATCATTTTAACTTGTAACTACTGTTATTCTACAAGTTCACCACCAGATTGACATATTTTCACCCACATACTTCTTTCTTAAATATTTCTCATCAGACAATTGTTTCAGAATATATACATTATTTTGTCTTTATAATTTCCCTCTATTACACAGCTGTTTATCTAAAGCAGCTACTTCTAAACACTTAGCCAAAGCAATTCAATTGTTCTTAACAGGGCTTCATTTGCAAGCAAGGAAAACACTGTGAATAAAACAAGACCAAGTCTTCATAAAACATTATATTCTTGAGGCACTCAGTAGAAGATTAGTGACTGTTTCTCAGTATTTTCCATAGGGCAACTTTTACATCCTCATTTCTCAAACTATAGATGAGAGGATTTAACATGGGGATCATCATTGTATAAAACACTGAGACCATCTGGTTTCCTGCCTGGAATCCATGTCGATAGGGCTGCAAGTAAGTGTACATAGTTGTTCCATAGTATAGGCTAATGGCAGTCAAGTGAGAACCACAAGTGGAGAAGGCTTTTTGTTTTCCAGAAGCTGAAGGAATTTTCAGGATAGTCATAAGTATAGACAGGTAGGAGATGAGTATCACCACAATGGAGGTGACCAGGGTGAATCCCCCAAAGCCAACAACCAAAATCTGGGTGAGCCAGGGATCTGAGCAAGCCAGTGCCAACAGTGGTGGGATGTCACAGAAGAAGTGTGGGAGGGTATGTGGCTGACAGAATGATAGCTGGGTGATGGAAGTTGTTACAGCAACCATATTAATTAACCCACCAAGGTAGCATCCTGCTACCAAGAGGAGACAACGCACTCTTGACATGGTAACATGGTAGAGCAGTGGGTGACAGATGGCAGTATAGCGGTCATAAGCCATGGAAGCCAAAACATTGCATTCAGCAGAGGCAAAGATTATGAACAAACTCATTTGAGTCACACATCCAAGGAAAGAAACTTCCTGCAGTTGAGATAATAAATTTGCTAAGGTCTTCGGTGTCGTGATTGAAGAGAAACAGACATCAAGAAAGGAAAGATTAGAGAGGAAAAAGTACATGGGGGTGTGGAGGCGCGAGCTGATTCCTATCAGGACCACCAGCCCCAGATTCCCCAATACAGTGATGATATAAACAATAAAGAAGACTCCAAATATCAGGACTGCAAACCAAGGGTTGTCTGTCATACCAAGAAGGATGAATCCAGTCACTATCGATGCATTTTCCATTGACACAAGCTGAGAATCATTCTTAACTAGTTAAAAAGCTCTTTAGACATGCTTGAAGAGAGAGACAAGAGAAAACTGGATGATGTGGATAAAATAGTCCCACTCAAAACATAGATCTACGGCACTAACCAATACTTTCCCTGGTCTATAGTCTCACTTTAGATACCTTCCCAAATACTATCGCTATTTCCCAGGCATAACACGGAAGATGTAAAGGCTGAAGAAAAATAGGAAGGAAGGAAAAGGAGGTAACGAAAACACAGAAAGTAAAAAACACAAATAGAGAAGAAAGTAAGGGCTCCAGGGACAAAAGGCACTTGACAGTATCTGCCTAAAGAATGAGTGAGAGTTTGTGCTCTTCACTGACACAGGTGTAAAAACTCTTAGAAAAAAAATGATGCTGTGGAAGTCCTTCTCAGTCTCTCTCCCATTTAGAAACCTTGACCAAGGAATTAGTGGAAATGAGATAACAATAGGGTAAATATAGCAACTAATTTCAACTTCACAGACAGATCCTCTTCCTACTTTTGGTATTTTTGACATTATTTCCAAAGCAGAAGTCACCAGTACTCACTGTATCTGTTGGTCAGCAGATGGTTTTCCAGGACCATGACTGTCTCCTCACTGGCAAAAAACAGAATGCCCTTAAATGAGATAAGAAACAGCTCAAATTTGAAAGCATAATTCAGATCCTATGAAAGAGCAACCAAGGAAGAACCAAACTTCTCAGAATTCATGCAGCTTTTGGTTGATCCTCAATTAATTCCTTTGGCTGTGCTTGGGGCAAAGGAAATGCAGACACAAAGCTACCTGTGAGTTCCACAAAGACTCAGCAGATAAGTTTTGGGAAAAAAAAAAGTAGAAAAATGGCTATAGTCAGGTGGTACTAATGCTAAGTGCATAGACTCTGTCCCTCTCCTAGGGTCGCTGCCTTGCTGCTACACACAATTGCCAGAGCCCTGCCCTTAGAGAAGCACCAGACAAGAGAAGTCATGAGTCTATTCAGCTCCATCCTCATTTCTAGAATATAAACCAGCACAGAGTCTCCATAGATCACTGGACAGTCATCAGTAAGTGGTGTCTACAAGGTCTTCTTGTATTTCTCTAGAGGCTAGAAAATAGGAACTCTGAAGCGCAACTGCAAACTTGATTAAAAAGAAATTCATGGGCTGAGGGTGTAACTCAGTGGTAGAGCATTTGCAAGCATGTGTGAGGCCCTGGGTTCTATCCCCAGCAGTGGAAAAAAAAATTTTAAAAGATGAAAAGGAAGGAAGGAAGGAAGGAGGAGAGAGAAAGACAGAGAAGGGGGGGGGCAATGAATATATACCTGTTTTAATTTACTAGAAAACACAGGTGCAATACTTGGTTTAGTGTTAAAATCTCTGATTCTGAGCCACATGGACTTATTTGAATCCTGGCTGAGATCACTAGCTCTATGACCTAGAACTCAAACTATCTAAGCTTTAGTTTACTCATTTTTCTTTATTTCTTTTGGTACCAGAAATCGAACTCAGGGCCTTGTGCTTACCAGGCAGACAAAGATACATTTCCAGCCAAAAGAAGAACACCAGCAAAACCTATGTCATGAGGAAATTGTGAAGATTAAAAGAAATATTATAAGTAAAACATTTGGTACACAGGAGGTGCTCACTGAATCATTTTCTCTGTTCCTTCATGACCCCTTCCATTTATGTATTTACTGTTTGCCCCCATATTACACCAAATGGAAATAGAATGGAAACAGAGACATTGTGTGTGGGCATCAATTTCATTTTCGATGGGACAGAAGTGAACTTCTGAGAGACTAGCTGAAATATAATCCCCATGCTCCATTCCCTTACTATCGCCCACCCTACACAAAGTTTGGAGATGAAAAGGAGTCTTTCATTGGTGGTAATAATTCACTTCTTTTTGCCATACCTGGATATTGGGGTTAACTTGTGATGTTGATGCTGATGCAGCTTAGCACAGCAACCCAACCAGTGGAACATTCTGCACCTTAGACCTCTAAAAGGAGAGACTGAAGGAGAAAACAAAGGGCTAAATGGAAGTCATGGAAAGAGAACTGCTTTCAGAAATAAAGGCACACATGCAACACTAGTTTGTATTGTCATTCAGTGTTGGAAAAACCGCTTAACTTCTCTGAGCCCCCTATTTGCTCCTCCCCCAAACCAGAAAAAAGCAACACTGGGCTATGCCTCTTTTAGGGGTGGCATGAGGATCAAATAAGATAATGAATGTAAAAGCACTCTGTAAACTCTGAAGGGTGATACAATACACATGGAATGGATCCCTATTATTATTCTATCATGGGAGGTGGGAGAGGGAGGAGGAATCCGTCAATATGATCATTTTCTACTGGCTCCAGCTCCTGCCTACAGAGCTACATTTTCTGCGCTCCCACTCACCCCTACACACACATCATCTGCTCTGCCTCTCTACTGTGAAAGTTTCAACCTGTGACGGTTTAAACAAACAGCTCTAGGCAGTTCACTATCTTGTATCATAAGAAAGATAGATTTTTTTAAATGCTAGTTTCACATTCTTGTGTCATTTAAAATTTTTCCCATTTTAGGATAACTCTTTTCTCTGGCATCTGCATGCATTGTAAGTATTGAATAAATATTACTTGAATGAGTAAGTGACTATTAGTCCTTAAAACACGATGAAATCTTTTCGTATTTAAAACAAGATTGAAATGCTCTTTCTTCCCAAAGGAAATAAACATACAAAATGAAGACGTTACAAAAGAAATGATTTGATTCTCCCATCCACACGTTCTGATGCATTAACTGCTGTCATGATAGGAACTAGAACAGGCCTGTTATTATCTAGGCCAATGTGTCTTGAATACTTACGTGTTGGAATAATCAGGCACTCCTATTTGTTGAAGAAGTGACCTTTTGTACTTTTTTAAAAATACATTCATGTACTTATTCTTAAAGGCAGTTAAATTTACAGTGCTTGTTCTCAAAAGAGTTGATTATCCCCTCTTCTGTTCTTAAGTAGTTTGCTACGAACCTTCCAAAAATAGGACTTAACATTTAGGATTTTAGCAAAAGTTCACTTGTGTACCTATTCATTAAAATTCCTTGAGGGCTTGGTAAGTGCCAGGCTTCAAAGACCATGATCTATTTCAACCCACTTGTTTTTAGGTGAAGAAACAGTCCAGAGAGATCAAATGACTTGTCTAAGTTCTTAGTAAATTAGTGGCAGCTCTGGTGTTGGAACTCAGATCTCCTGACCTAATTCAGTGACTTTTTCAGAACATTATTTCACTTTCTTTTTAACTTGCTTTCTGAAGTTATCATGGAGGGAAATTTCACTTTTCGTACATTTGCTCCTCTAACAACAGATAAAAAGTAATTCTCTGTCACTATATTTGAGCTATATGATCTTCAATGAATTACTTCTTTGTTCTGGCTCCTAGTTTCTTCATCAATAAAATGAGACAGCTAAACTAGGTGATCTCTGAGGCTCTCTCCAGCTTTGAACTCTAATTCCCATGGCTCTATGAGTTGAACTATACAAAGACCACCAGTGAGTCCTTCTCAATATCTGATGGAGAGAAGTTGAGAAACATTTTTCTGTGGTTCCGTGAGTGTGTCCTTCTTTGCTCCTTCAGCTCTCGCAGTGCCAAAAAAGTCATGTTGCAAGGCACTGAGGACCACTGAAGCAAGAGTATGGAAGGGATATTTTCCAAATCTCCTCACTACGTGAAAGCAGAAACTGTGTAGTCAAAGATCCAGCCAAAGCATCCAAGTCCATCCTAATGCCATAACTGAGCAAATCGCTCATCCTCTCATCCATCTACTTCCTTATGTACAGTGGAATTATTATCACCTAACTTAAATGACCATTTTGAAGATTAAATAAGAATAAATTTATAAAGCACACAACAGATATTTAGCTGCTTTTATTTCTCCATAAAAGTCCATTTTACTGTGTGATTCAATTTATGTGAAATATTCAGAAATAGGTAAATCTACAGAAACAAAAATACCCTCATTGTTGCCAGTCTTGAAGAGTGGTGCACAAAAGAAAAGTATGAGATTTCCCTTTTGGGTGATAAAAATGTTCTAAAATTGATGACAGTGATGGTTGCACAACTCTGAGTACACTAAAAGCTATTTAATTGTAACTTTGTATGTATGACCTTATGACATGTAAATTATATCTCAATAAAACTTTTAGCAAAAAAGTTATGATAAATCCTGAAGAAAAAAGTCCCTTATCGATCAGTCATCTTTGTCTGTATCTAAATCCTTCTACCGACCTACGGGAAAGAGTTCTAAGCACTGGATGGAATCACCAGTTCAGAAATATTTTGGGAGGGCTAGGGATTTAGCTCAGTGGTGCCACTGCCTGCTTCACAAGCTCAAGGAACTGAGTTTGATCCCCGGTACAAAAAAAACAAGAAATCTTTTGAGAAATTTAACAATGACACAAAAAAAATGTATTTGAAGGAAATGATGAAACCGTAATTGGAGAAATAAAGAAAGACTTGGATAAAAATATAACAAAGATGACATTCTTTAAATTAATGTTTAGATTTAATGCAACATCAGTTAAACTTTCTACAGGATATTTTACAGACCATAATAAATTGATGAGATTCAACTAAACGAATAAGAAGATGAAAATATCAAAAGATATTGTTAAGTAATGATGGTAGAAAGCTTCTCAGACTTTAAACTTTATCAAATACCCATATATATAACAAAACAAATAATTGGGTTAAAAATAAATATTGATCAAGCTAATAAAACATGTTAGAGAAATAAAGCCAAATTCTTGTAAAAATTTCCCTGGTAGGTTAATATGGGCGCACATGCATGTGCACATGCAAACACACACACATGAATCATTCCACAAATAAATATTGTTGGGAAAGTTGTATTACTAATAAGAAAAGTAAAATTAGAGATGTAATTCACATCATATGCCTCAACAAATTCCAAATGGACCAAAAAGTTAAATATAAAAAGACAAGATGTAATTGAAAAATGTTTCAATAAAAAAATTTACTACAGTAAAAGGCATATTGCCACTCAGCCCCTCAGAAGACTCCCTCTCAATTCAAACACACTTATGAGTGTCATCAAAAGGTATGATCAAAAATACAGTGAATGTTACTGTCAAATGCAGGCTTGTAAAAAGATTTCAATGTGTCCTCATCCATCTTATTCACTGGATTAGGCACTGAGTGACTTCTGGCTTTTTTCCAAACTCAAAATGACCATGAAAGGTAAATATTTTGAATTGATTCAGGACATCAAGGTTATCGCGACAGCACTACTAAATGCACTCTTGAAAGAGAACTTCCAGAACTCTTTCAGAAAGTAGAAAGAACAACGAATGGGGTAAGTGTGCTCAAGGCAAAGGGGAGTAATTTAAGGGAGATTAATACCAGTATCTTTTACTCCATTTTTTTGTCACATCTCATACAAGGTATTAGAGAAGTCAATTATAGGTACAATTACTTTCATGGAAATGAAGAGAAGGAGCTATAGAAGAGAAAAAGAGGGGCTGATTTCAATCATGGTGGTAGAACTTCATAGAGGTAGGGAGAAAAATGTTTCATGGGGGAGGTAGGACTGAACGTAGACCTTGAAAAATGAGTAGAGTTTGATGAAGGATAAGAATAATAAAAACAGAAATGGACATTCTATGAAAAATTCCAACTACCTAGTAACTGGGGGGATGGCTAAATAGATGTTAATAGGCTTCATGGCCATGTAGTCACTAGAAACAACAAAAAGAAACATATTTGGGAAATAACCTCAAGGCACATAGAACCATGACTGTACCTTGAAAAGGTCAGACAGGCACTCAGGGTGCTAGATATCCTCAATGAATGGCTCAGTAAACTTACTTACATTCCACAATTTTCAAAAAAGTCAACAAAACTATATAAAGGTGAGTGGTAAGTCAATGTTACAAGTGTTTGCTCTGATTCCTCTCTGGGACTAAACTTTCAGGACAGGATGGCTGTGGAAACTGAGTGCCTGCAGTGTCTTCAGAAGAATAAGAGATGGTAGTTGTTTGTTAGTTACTGCAGGGGCTGTATTCTGTGCTTCCTCCCCTCTTGTACTCGCTGTGAACACAAGTCATTTACTTAATATGCTGTCCCCTGCTTTTGCCCCCCACACACCCTAGCCCACTAAATTCTCTTCTATTTCAACAAAGCAACCACAGTGCCTAGTCTCCAAAATCCCTGCATAATAGGACAGGAATTAGGAGGACTCAGAACATCTGTCTTGTTTTACTAAGTCGGCTGACAAGGAAACAGAAAAGCACCGAGGATTGGGAACCTTAGTTTATGTAAGCTTAGAATTCATCAGCTCTGATTTTTGCCTGCTACATTCTTACCCAAATTTATTGTGTGTTCCCTTTGTAGACATAAAATAGAAATGTGAAAAGCAATTTAGAGTTACTCAAAGAAAACCTTGTCTCTCTGCCTGAAGTTTTTCAAGTTTCAGGCCTCAGGCGGACATGTCAAACAGATCGGTTTTTATTGTATGACCCAAATCAGTGGCTCTCAGTGAAAAGGCCCACCCCATTATTTGTTTCCCTCCATTCTTTGTGCGATTTCAACAAAATGTGCAAAGCCACTCTACTCACCTATAATTTTTTTTTTTTCAAGGAGAATTTCAGCATTTCACTCATTTCCTCTGATTGTTTCTTCTGGAAAAGACCGAGTCATTCAGCTTGTTGGATTTCTCTCTATATCAAGGACCAGTCTTGAGCCAATTGTGTTGGTTCAACAGAAGCAATACACATCATATAATGCAGAATCATTCTCCCCTAGGGAATCTGAAGCTAATTGTAAAGTGACTCTGTAAATAGTATCTCGGTCTTTAATCATATTTTATGTTTGTGCAAAGGCTAAAAAAAACTCCTTCCACTATTTCTTTTCCCTAAAATACCATTAAACCTATTAAAACACATTTATTATCTCAGGACTCTTGTAAGACTATATACTTACACATTTGCAATAATTAGGATCAGACCCTATTTTTAGGCTATCTAATTAGAAAAAGTAATGAACAGTCTGTCTAAGATGTGGGACCTGGCCTTTGATCTGACACTCACTAGCTATCATACTTTTCGCTAATAACACCCCCTCTCTGGTCTTCACTTTCCTCATTTGTAAAACAAGAGACTAGACAGATGAATTGCAGTTTTTCTTCCACTTCTAACTTTCAGTGAGCAAAATGCAATAACATATTTAAGTAACCTGCTATGCAAGAAAAGCAATAGTTTAATTTAGAAAATATATTGGCTTTGCAATGAAACAAAATTGGGCCTGATTCTTCAATTTATCACTAATTATCAGCATTATTTTGGCCAAGTTACACTTTTCAAGTTTCATGTTTCCTCTATAAAATGGAGATAGTAATACCTTGTGTGGTTATTGCAGTGATGAAATAAGAAAACATAGGCAAAGAAAAAGACACATGATAGAATCATTAAATGGTAGCTACTGTTAGCTGCTTTATAGGACAATATATTCTTTATCCAGAGCAAGTTTGTACATTAATTATGTATAAGTACTGTTTTTAGATCTCAAAATAAACATGAATCTCTATTTTCTCAGTCAGAGAATAGATTAGCAAGAGTTTAATTACGATATAAACACCTCAACTTTAAATATAAGGAAATGGAAGTTATATGCCTAGTCCAAAATCATAGAGTGAGTTAATAACAGAGCCAAATCTAAAATCCAAGTTGTCCCTTTCTTAGAATTTACACACCCCACTGATTTTCTTCAGACTAAGTTATACCTCTATTAACAGTTTTTGGTGTCATGCAAAAATGATAATTGTTTCTATTCAGTCTATTGTTTAGCTGAGTCTAATAAGAAGAGCAAAATGAAATATTGAAAATCTGAGTAACTCAAGCTCTAATTTTTTTGGAAGTTTTGTGTCAAAATAGTCAAATTAAAACTTTTGGGCAGTTGAAGGAGTAACAAGACAAATTAATGTTATTAGTCACCTCCTCATATCTATTTCTGTCTGACTGACCATCTGAGTGAAGCATACCACCGTCCACTTAGCCAGAAACATATGAGTCACTCTTCTCACCACCTTCCTTGCTCCAAGGTAATCAGGTCTACCCAATTCTGTCTTCTAAATTCCACTTGATTCTAATCTGCTGTGGTTTGAATGACCCTCCAGAACTCATGATTAATTTAATTTCCATGGTAACAGTATTAAGAAGTGGGGCCTTTAAGTGTTGATTAGGTCAAGAGGACTCTGCTCTTATGGATGAATTAATTCCCTTATCATCAGAGAGGAGTCTTGATTTTTAAAAAGGCCGAGTTCATCCTTATTTTTCTCTGGCTCATACATGCTCACTTGCCCTCCCACCATGTTATGGTGCAACAAAAAGGTATCGCCAGATGGAACCTTTCTATCTTAAACTACTCCACCTCCATCCAAATGCAGGAGCTGAACAAACTATTGCAGCATATAATTTACCCAGTCTGTGATATTCTGTCAAAGCAGTAGAAAATGGACTAAGACATAGCCAATTCTTTCTATCCCTCTAAAAGGACATAATACTTTCTCACCTGGACTACTACAATAACCTGTTAACTGATGTCCATTTGGCTGTTTTTACTCCCCAAAATCAATTTATTGATTG